CCGACCTCTCTCTGCCCCCCCCTTCCTGCTTCTACCCAGCCATCTCTATCAAATAAAGGCAAAAAGGCCAAAAAAACTATATAAAAAATATAAGTAAATATAAGTTTTGTCAACTGAAGGTCAAGAATGAATTTCGAATATAAACTTTAAAGCCACCGTCAATGAGAACACTTCAAAGAGCTTAGAAAATGGAAATTTACAATACCACAAACCCTGAAAGCTGGACAAACTCTATCTGTTGAGGAATGTCGTGGGATATGACTGAAAACTCTAAAACGTCTAATGAATAGACCCTGGCTCTTAAAAATGGTGAGTTGAAATGCCAGAGAGGTTAAAAAAGACAAAATCTTGGGTTTTTACACTTGAGAAACAATGTGCTAGACCCTCTACTTCCCCTGAAGGTGCAGCATTGGTCTGATTCAATAAAATAACATAAAGCCATATTGGGTGGGAAACAGATGTACCAGAGTTAGTGCTGTTGGTTCAATTCTGCAGTCTTGTCACAATTGTGAAACATTCTTGAAAACTTTTAGCAAGAAGCATGCTTTATGACAAGTGGTGTGTGTTGTTTCTGGGGTGCAGGTTGTGATGCAGCTGGTGCGTCTGCTCCCCGATGGCCACAGGATGAAGACGGAGGTGGACATGGCCCTGGACTCTGTCAGCGAGACCATGACCCCCATGCACTACCATCTGAGAGAGATCATCATCTCCACGTACAGACAGGTACAGCACACCTCCCCGTAGTATTCGCTACCCATCCTTCTATCTTTGTGAGGACCAGTTTGATTTTAGGCCTCGTCAGTGGGACGTTTTGGGATATTTTGTCCAGTTCTCTCTTTATCAAAAGGCTGTTTTGACGATTAATACTATTTTTTGGGTTTAAGGTTAGATTTACGTTTAGGTCAATATCCAGATTTGAATTGTTAAGTAAACCCTAACATATAGTTCTCTCAAGGGGGTAAATCAAATCAGTCAAATACTGCTTACTTATGACTCTGTGCTGCTCAGGCTGAGACACAGTCAGCATGTTAAAGATTCAGGTGCAGTTTCTCATGAGCCCCATAGATGGCATCAAGAACTTGTTTGGATGTCTTTTACAGCTGCAGCTTTTAGATCCCAGAGACATGAATGAGACAGATACACTGCTCTGTGGACAGGAGCTGCAGAGCGTGGAAAATGACTGACAACATAACTTATCTCTAAAACTCAATGGAATTCCTTTGAGTCTAAATGGAAAAGAGCGAGAGGAAAAAAAGCAGGAAAATAAATGATTACTTGTGGGATTTGCAGAGTTGACCTTTTTGAAGTTTTATTTGTGAGCCTGCTGTGCAAAGCACAAAGGCACACTTGTGCTGTATATGGTCCAAGTAGTATTAAATAACATATCATATCAGTATCTGCTGCTTTGTTTGCTACTGTACATGTATTGAATGTATTTTCACGTGAAATCCACTGATTAGCTGGATTTATTAGACTTGTTGTAATGAATATGCTTTAACTACAAGGAGGAAAGGCAGGTAAGGGGAAACGGATATGGTTTGGATGTATTTTTAAAGTGAAAAGAGGATGAAAAGCAGCTGTAACTTTTTTTTCTGAAAGATGTTCCTGGTAATTCGGACATTTTGCGTAATAAACAAGGCATAAAGAGATCAAAATTAGCTTGTAGTGGGATTTGAAAGACCTGTCTGGACAAGGTCTCTCCTGATGCTGTGGCCTCTGCAGGACCATGGCTCTGTTTTAGCCATTTGTAATGCAGACTGTAATCATTGTGCCTCTGTGCACTGTCAGCCGTTTTCAGCACACTGGAGGCACCCGGTCCTGTCTCCACCATATCAATGGGCCTCATTGTCCTGTGAACCTTGTCTTTCGCCTATATTCTCTCTCCGTCTGTCACTTTCTGATGCCAGGCTCCAGGCAAAGGCTCGCTATCTGCTCACTTTCAAATCAATTAGGTAATTTGTATAAGCAGTAACAAAAGCTTTAGATTTTGCACATATTTGTATTTTTAAATATTGTAAGGTAAAAATTCACTTCACCCTGTGCCAGAGTTTCAAAGGATAATTATAGTTAAAAGTTGGCTCTTTTTTTAATTTTTATATCATTCCTATCAGGCATAATTTCATTGGACCCTGTGGAATTGACCACTAGTAGCACTTTAGAGTTAATGCTTTTACGAGTTTTGTTTGTGTTACGCACACCCATGAGGATACAGGTGTTGCGATACACATTCCTGTAGCTAGTTTCATGCAATCCTATTGATCGGCTGCAAGGTAGCATAGCAATGTGCCAGCGAAGGCACTGAAAAAGAAGACTGCATGCTAGCTAACATTTATGTAAACAATGCATGCAAATGTTTTATGAGGAAGGAAATGCTAGTTTTTATAGACTTCATGGACACACACACACACAGACGTGTTTTGGTGTGAAATGCTGGATATGAGCAGAACTTTTTGTATGTTTATAAGAAAACTCCACAGGGCAGCTTTAAATATTGGGATCTGTGAATGCGACAGGAAAAGAAACACGAGCAGTCAGATGATCATAGAACTTTTAAACACTCTGAAGTTGGCCAATTTACTTGGAAGAGGAAACGAAGGTTTCAACAACAGCATTATTACTCAAAATGTCTTGAAACTTTACAGACTGCCTTTCTGGTTAAATTTTAACTACCATACTTGGCCTACCAGTGGTGTTTGCCCACAATTTTCCTTATTCACCTCATCAGACTTCTTTTTAGCAATGTTCTTGTTTCCAAATTTCTGTAATTACTTGGTTAACATACAATGTTATCATAACCTAAATACAAAATGATGGCCCACACAACAGAAAAGGGACCCTAATTATAATAAATCAGAATGATCTTTTAACCCTGCTATAGCGACCTCAGGTTGGCACTATGTTCCCTTTCAGCCCTTTCCTTCCTGCCTAACCAGCAGGCCAGGTGATAAACAGTGCCAGATGTTGCTAGAACCCGGCAGGCAGCAGACGAGAAAAGGGGGGAAGAAGAGGGGAAAACTTCACCCCCACACTCTTCTCGCAGCCCTCTCCCCTCCAGAGCACCCTCCTCCCCTTTGACAGTGGTTGGAAAATGTGTCTTTGATAGAGAAAAAATATATTTACACTGGGACCCGAACCATCCGCCAGCTCCCAGAGG